TTTAGGAGAGTGTTTACACTCTCCATGCCAGGTGGACAAAAAATAATGTAATAATATCAATTCAGGATTGTTTAGGAAGGTAATAGGATGCTTGCATAGTTAAAGTGTCTTTTTACAAATTCAGAACAATTTCAAGTGTCACTTTATTTCTTTTCTCATACAAGATAACTATAGAAAAAAATCATTTTAATGTCCTCATCAATTGCTTCTTGACTAATGGTCAATCAGAAATATGTTTTGTAATTTCATTCTCAAATTATTACATCATTGACTTTGAAAAAAAAACATTTTTTTTCATGGAAAATTTATGGAATTAACCAACATGATGATGTCCATAAGAAAAAGACACATCAATAATGTCTTTTATAATTGACCAATAACTTTTTGGAAAAGGGATTTGAAATATATATGATCTTTGATCGAAATTGCTGTAACAATTCCAAATTTTAGGTAAGGTCTATTACCTCTGCACTATTTAATATTACATTTTAAGCTTTTTTTCTCTAAATTTTTGACTTATTTTTATTTTATTACTTGAATTTTAATTTCATTTTAAATTCTACTCCATCTTCTTCTTCACCTCTCACACTCACCTCACCCCACCCCACGTCAAGTTGAGTCCCTCCTTCAATTTTTTTTTCTTTTCTTCTTCTTCCGTCAAATTCATTTCTTTTACTGATTTTTTTTTTTAAAAAAATCATGTTATTTTTTAGACTTTGTTGAGTTAATGATAACAAAACTTATTATTTTTTCTAAGAAAAATCAAAATTTTGAAGGTATCATCAACTACTTTATCTGATTTTCATATAACTTCAAAACTAGAAATGATAATTTTGAAAGAATCAACGAATTTTCCAAAAAATTTAAAAGCTTAATTGAAATTTGGATTTAAAAAAAATTAAATTATACCTACTAATCATCTTGAAATCTAATAATTTATCAAATTGTTCAAAATATAATTAAAAAATTTAAATAGAATTTTAAAATTGAAGAGAGTTAAACTTATTATATAAGAGGGAGTTTGCACCAAGCAAGCTCCTCTCTGTCAACATGCCTGCTTGGCATAGGGACATTGTCGGTATTTCATAATTATTTTGCTACAAATCTATTATACTTTGTGCTGTTGACCATGTACCTTTTTCAAGTCAGACAAAACAGCCAAGACTCCTATTTCATTCTCTATACACTTTAACTTTATCTTCAAAGTATGGGCCCTACTTCAGTTTTAATAAAAAGGTTGCTGACATGTTGTCTCTTAACTTTATCTTCAATTTTATGGGCCCTACTTCAATTTTAAAGTAATTTATCTTTATGGCACTAATTAATTATATGAATAAAATAAATTTTATCCAAAAAAGTAAGAAAAAATCAGTGTACCATACAAATTTCCACAATGTTATTGAAAATTTAGTAAACATAAATGAAATATTTTTATGGGCCATAAAAATTTGATTATTCTAATTTTTAAGAATGAGTTATATATGATATACTTAAAATAATTAAAATTAGACAAATAAAACAAAATTGAGAAAATTTTATCAGCTTGGCTTATTGATCAAAGGTTCACTTTTATGTTCAAGGTCCCAGTTTCGAACTTAGGTAACACCTTCTCTTTAATTTTCATTTTTAATTTCTTTTATCTGTAATTTTATGTAAATATTAATAATGAAAATTTATTTATTTATGTATTACTTATTTATATTTCAGTTATTTCATCTTTTATCTTACATAAAAATAATATATAAATTTTCATACTTTATACCTAAATTAATTATGCATGTTTCCAAATAAGTTATATAAATACTATAAAGTGTAACAACTATTACATATAAGAAAGGGGAATAGCACACACGTCTCCGTCAATGTGTGCGCTTCCCGGAATTACTACAATAGCTTGAGGATTTTTTTGTCCTTGACTTTTATTTTATAGCTTCTAATGTTCAGCTTGTTGCAACTTTTATGATTTTTTTGGAATTTTCTGACATAATTAGCCTTTGATTACATCATATATTGTGCTTATTAGTACTTACCATGGTCCCTCCCAACTCTTTCCCTTCACTTTTAAGCTTCAACAAAACAATTCTCATATAGAACTTCTCTTCGCATAACTTTTTCTTTAGGTAAAATTTATTATTTCCTCCGATTTAATTTATATGATACATTTCGAATTTTGAAATTTAAATAAGTCTATTTCTTATCATAAATTTTTCATAAAGGAAATAGCAAGCTCCTCTCCGTCAACATGGTTGCTTGTTGACGGGAGGCAACCGTTGCAAATATTTATAGAAAATTGTCATTATTATGAAATGATAATGTTTCATTTTACTTACTTTAATACTTTCTAATAAAACTTACTAATGACTTAGTTTCATTTCTTAATAAAATTAATTTTAAATTTTTTACTTATTTTATTATGCTTACCCACCCCCTCTGCAATTAATTATTTTACTTACTTTAATATTTTCTAATATAACTTACTAATTACTTGCTAAAATATAAAATTGTTGTTATTATTATTATTATTACTATTATCAAATGACAATGTTTCACTTTATTTACTTTAATACTTTCTAATAAAACTTACTAATTACTTACTAAAATATAAAATTGTTATTATTGTTATTGTTATTGTTATTGTTATTGTTATTGTTATTGTTATTCTTCTTCTTCTTCTTCTTCTTCTTCTTATTATTATTATTATTATTATTATTATTATTATTATTATTATTATTATCAAATGACAATGTTTCATTTTACTTTATAATAAACTTACTAATGGCTTATTTTAATTTCTTAATAAAATTAATTATTAAATTTTTACTTATTTTATTATGTTTACCCACCCCCTATCTGCAATTAATTATTTTACTTACTTTAATACTTTCTAATAAAACTAATTACTAATTACTTACCAAAATAATCAATAAAATTAATTCAGTGAATTTAATTTAATAAAATAAACTCCTAATAATATTGATAAAAAAGTAGTACTGAAAAAATATAAAGAATAACTTATTCAAATTACTTTAATATATACTTAATTAAATTAAATTAATTTCATTGTCAACACATAAATTTAAAGGAAATTTTTTAACTCATGCTCATTAACGCGGCTTGAAAATAATGCAAATCTTCTTTTTAAATTTTTAGATAAAAATTTGGACCAACTAATTTATGAAGTTTTTTATGATAAAAAATATATATCTTAAATATTTCACGTATATTATTGGGCCCGTGCACAATACGGGCTATCTTTTACTAGTAGTAGTAAAAAAGGGAGTGAATTGTGGTAAAAAGTGACATTGAAAGTGAGAATCTTCAATGGAGATGACAATGCATTTTTGAAGAAGAAGGAAGAAGGAAAAAAAATAATAAGAAAAAAAAGTTGAAATAATAAGAAAAACAAGAAAATATATTTTATAGTAAAATTCTTGTAAAAATAAAATTATAGTATTCGTTATTATAGTTTATTCACGTTCTTTAAGAGAGTGTTTACACTCTCTGTGCCAGGTGGACAAAAAATAGTGTAATAATATCAGTTCAGGATTGTTTAGGAAGGTAATAGGATGCTTGCATAGTTAAAGTGTCTTTTTACAAATTCAGAACAATTTCAAGTGTCACTTTATGTCTTTTCTCGTACAAGATAACTATAGAAAAAAATCATTTTAATGTCCTCATCAATTGCTTCTTGACTATTGGTCAATCAGAAATATGTTTTGTAATTTCATGCTCAGATTTATTACATCATTGACTTTGAAAAACAAACATTTTTTTTCATGGAAATTTTATGGAATTACCCAACATGATGATGTCCATAAGAAAAAGACACATCAATAATGTCTTTTATAATTGACCAATAACTTTTTGGAAAAGGATTTGAAATATATATGATTTTTAATCGAAATTATTGTAATAATTCCAAACTTTGGGCAAGATCTATTATCCCTGCACTATTTAATATTACATTTTAAAATATATATGTGCACACGTGGACATCATAAATATTGTATCATTATAAATAGTAATTTGTCCACGTGGACACATATATATCTTTACAATACACTATTAAATAGTGCAAGGGTAATAGGTCCTGCCCATAGTTTGAGATTGTTACAATAATTTCAATCAAAATTCAAATATATTTCAGACATTTTTCTCTAACTTATTTTTATTATAAAAAAAAAGGAGGTAGAAACAAAAATCAGGTCAAGAAGACTTAAATTTTGTAATGGACACCTTACGTAAACTTGACTTTAACCTATTTAGGTGCATTTTTTCATATTCAAAGACTTAAAATTGAGACTTTTAAAAATATAAAACTTAACACTTACGATACACATGGGATTGTGATATGTGAATATGGTCATGCTATGGAAGTTTTAATTTTAAAAGAAAAAAAAAACAAAGAAAAGTGTTCCTCACGCATAATACACTTCATATCATAATTATAGGCTTCTCATACACTATATACAAACAATGTATGAGTAACTACACTATATACAAATTGCTTTGAAACTACAATCAAAATTTGTTTGAACGATATTGTTTGTTCTGATATTTTCTGATTGCTATAACAAAATGTTATTATAGAGAACATATAGTATATATAACATAAAAGATCAGTTCCACATAAATTATGATTGTTATAGCATATGACTTTCATAGAGAAATTTGACTATCAACTAGAAAATTCTAAATATATGCAAAACAAACATGTAAAATGCAATAAACAACTTTATTTTATTTAGTATGATGATGATATATATAAACTTAAATGAAAAGCTGAGAATTCACATAGCCGATCCCAACTTATTTAGGATTGAGGCGTACATATTGTTGTAATAAGTAACATCACTAGATGATAAAATTTGTAAAAGAAGTAATCTGAAAACATCAAGTGCCCCCCTAATTACTCTTTCAACAAAATAATGTGTGTTCACTCAACTTACAATTCTTGAACAATTTTTTTGATATAATTCCATCATGCAAGTTGCACCTGGCCGTTTAAATCAGGTACAATGAGAAGGGGTTTACGTATAAATAAAACATACAAAAACCAACAAAAATTGCAAGTAAACCAACAGATGTTTCTCCCCTCCAGCAATCAGTGCCTTAATGTCATGAACTCGAATCAAGTCAACTATCCTGCATAGGGCGTTGTCCGTGTCATTCACTTGGTGTTACAAGACCTTGCAATTTGTGCAACCACTCGACGTATTGACCTTGCTCCTTCTTGTGTAAGTGTAGTAAGAGTGAATCTGCGAAACTTTTATCAACTCCTCTTGCTTCTAGATATTTGTGGAGCTCATCTCGAAGTCTCTCATCTGATGAACTAAAAAAACTGAAAAATGGAACACAATAAAAGGAACTCATAATTCATACATATTTGAAAAGAAATATGATGCAAGAAACCGAATAGGTCATTCTTTAAGTAAATGCAATTGGCGACCCTTGAGATTGTCACAAAATAAGCATCTCGAGAATCAGACAAATCGCTCTATTGGAGCAACAAAAGGTACACACAAACATCAAAAGCATCTCGAGAAACAGAGGAGAAAATTGCTAAACAGGAAGCAATGAGAGCAAAAGAAAAGTGACATGGAAAACATGTGTTTGCAAGAATGTAAAAATAGAGGATTACAACTAGCTCCTTTGATTCGAGCAAATAGATACTATACAAAGCTTATAGTCGTGAAGTTTAGCAGCTTCTTTTCCACCTCCTGAGAATGCGATTTTAAGCTTTTTATAGAGAACTCAAGAGGGCTGACCTTTCATGACTTGGGGTACTCAAGGTGGGTCGATAAGAGGACGCAAACAGCTCAAACTCGAGGCACAAATTTATAATCCAATTCGAAGGATATCTTCATGAATTTGCTGTAATAAAAGGCAGCAACAGTATATATAAACTAAGAAATGAATTTATTGTTCACCTAGCTGACAGGATTAGACGATTGAATACCATCTATGAGAACAGTTGACAAATGCAAGAATGCTCTAGCAATTTTTGCCATACTTATGTGAGCTTAAAATTTAGAAGTATCGAGCGATCTTAGGTCCTTACGGGATATGCAAGGATTATAATGTGGTGATAGCTGTGCGGTGAATAATAATATATAATTGTTATATTGGGAACAATAAAACAGTGTCTGTTACATGGTAAGGAATAGTACTTTTTTTTATATATAAAGTAAGTAACAATTTTATTAAAGAGATTGTACACAAAAAATGCTTGTATACAAGAAGTATTCAAAAAAGTAGAGAACCTATAAAAAGATACGGTTTCCTAAAGACAACACCCAATTCATTTAAAGAATAATACATGAATTGTTATGTAGAGATTGACTATTTTAAGGGTAGTCTTATTTTTAGATATTCTTATACAGACATCGGTAATATACGTATTCTTATTTCCAGGTAGGGGTACGGCTGCGTACACACCACCCTCCCCAGACCCCATTTGTGGGATTACACTGGGGTATGTTGTTATTTTTGTTGTTATCTCGCATAAAATAATATCATTATGCCGGAATTATTTTTCCATATACTGAAAACCAGACAACTCATCAATGCATTGAGACTGAAACTCCTTCTAAATCTATGAGTCCAAATGCTGAGCTCTCACTCCCCAAAAGCCAAAGTTGTTCTAAATTGTTTCTATAGAAGATGAAAATACCTGATATAGGGACCTTTGTGGGCTGAAGAAGAATCAAGGTCTGGTGATGGAATGTAGTTCACATTTTGAATTTCAACGTCACAACCGTCACCAACTTGGGCAGTTGCCACACAATCAAACTGTAGCAAGGATCTCAAGCCAGGCTTCTTCACACCTACTTTCATGAAAGCGTTCCTGGGAAATTTGGCATTTTCATTAGAGCCCTCAGCACCCAAAAAAGCAGAAACAGCAACTTCCTCCCCTGACTCGCATCTCCTGCGTAGAACTACGTCTTGGGATTGTGGTGAATCCCAGTCTACAACAAAATCTCCAAAGCTACTACTTTCATCATTCTGTTTAAGTCAGAAAAAGAAAGCAAAACTTAAGAAGTGCTCAGATTTCAAACTATAAATTGCAGTTAGTTACTCATATCACGGTGGATGAGATTATAATAAAGTGATTTCAAGATTTCAGCTTCAATAGACAGAACTAATTTGTCTTTGAAAGGGAAAAAGACAACATAGAAACAGATTAATCAAATTTTGTATGAGACATCTGGTGGAATGCAGCCAATATGAACACAAACATTTCTACCCCAAATAGAATTCATACCTGTTTTTTTTCTGTCCCTCCGACAAAGGAAACCTTTTATATTTGATGAAAGGAACACCTCTGTCATACTCCAGACGACTTTGAGGAATACTTAAGTGACTCATCTCTATGATATTGGCTTTGGTTTCCTAGTGGTTTACTCCCCTTCAGATAGCTATTGTTTTTCTCTCCGTTACACTTGCTTTAACTTGATAGCATCTTGATGCCTTTTTATTACTAACAAGTTGTTTTTACCCGTCTAACAAAGGGATATTTGAATGAGTTACTTCATTAATTATGATAAAGAGTATGCTAAACTGCTGCATTGGACTAACACTGAGAGTATGAAAAAGGATAAAGTAAAACATTACCATTTGGGTTAACTGATCACATAAAAATATCAGTTTCAACCAATCAACTATTGAATATATGAACCCTTTATTTCCTTAAAAAATACAATCTCAGAGGATTCATCATAATTAGACTATCTTGATGGCACCCAAGGGTGTGGCAATGAAGTGGGTTGAGAATGTCTCAGGTTCAAATCCTAGCAGAGACAAAAACACTAGGTGATTTCTGGACAACTTACGAATTTGAAAAAGGCTTCATTAGGAGACAAGTCAAACTGAACAACCTGGGAAAAGGAACGGTCAACTTTCAGGACATATGGTAGTTGAAGAGGTATTCTAGATACTTGCCAATGAGATGCTGATACATTTTTCCTTCGGGGACCATGGGGAGTGGTCCTGTTCTCCTACCCCTACAATTTTGGCAGTTATTCTTGTTTAACAAAGACTGAAGCTATTACACTATGATACAACGGAATAATCTCTAGTTATTGACAGAGAGGTTCACATCTCTAACCAGTTGAATTCAACAACATCAATAACTAACCCTCAATTCCAAACTGGCTGGGGTCAAAACAATCGGAATTCAGGTAAACAACTTTAAGATGGAACTAAGTTGAGCGATCTAAAATATGGGCATATCACATACGAGAACTCTCCATGCAGTCTCTTTTTTTCCTGGAATTCAAAAACAACCGTAGAAATCATGTATTCGGCTAGTAAACATGCTTAGTTGTTCACAAGACAACTCTAAATCAGAACAAACCAAAACACATACATTTTGGTCAAATCTGGACATGGAAATTAACTCGAAATGAAAAAAGATAAAGAAAAACAAAAAGAGCTAGCTGAAATTTCATATGATTAGCAAAGAGCAGTTAATAAAGAAGTATTATTTACACTAACAAACACATATGAACAGCTACCTGCAAGAATAGCTTCCGGTACCCAGAAAAGCTTATAAACTATTTTCCCTCTCAAAAGTTGTACTTTACATTGAACATTATTTCAAATTCTTTTTGCAAAAAATATAACCAAATACAACTCCATCTTCAACTCCGATTCCTTAAATTCCAAAAAAGTGAAAAATATTTGGAATCTACCGCCCAAACGACTGACAGAGAAAACGGACTAAAATTTAAATAAGTATTCTTTACAATAACATACACATATGAACACCTACGAACTGCAAGATTAGCTTCTGGTACCTAGATCCAAACTAGTTAAGTGAAAAAAACCACCACGTACGAAAAATAATAAGGAATCTCCACAATGATAGAATACTCAATAATATTAACACAAAAACAACTACCACTACACCTCAGTTCCAAACAAATTGAGGTCAACTATATGAATCCTCACTAACCATGTTACTACATCTAAACAATACAACTATTCCCCCACCTACATATCTTCCATTTGTTTTTTTTAAAAAAAAAAAAACCATTTTGAACCCTTTCCATTTCAAATTCAAGCAACACCAAAATTTGGGTGAAAAACTATCAATACAAGTTCCCATAAAATGGACCAAAATACCAGGAAAAAGCTATAGTAGAACTTCACAATGATAGAATACTCAGACAAAATACTGAAACAATACAATACAATGATTTCTACAACCCCACATCCTTCTACTTGTTCACACTATTGTGATTAAGACCCATTCAACCCAGGGGCGAAGCCAGCATGTTCTTAGGGGTTCATCCGAACCTCCTTCGGTGGAAAATATTACTATGTATACATGGTTAAAATTAATTTTTAGGTATATATAATAGATGTCGAACCCCCTTCGACTAGTTCGTGTCATCAGATTTTGAACCCTCTTATTGAAAATCCTGGCTCCGCCAATGCTTCAACCAGAAAAATGAATAATTTTTCACTTTATTTGAAATCAGTGTCCGGCCATGAAATTTTCAAATGCTAACCAGTTTTATTTCAAATTTGAAAAACAACTTATAAACTATTTTCAAACTCAAAAAGTTGTACTTTACATGAACATTATTCCAAATATTTTCTTATTCACTGCAAAAAGTATAACCAAATACAACTTCATTTTCAACTCCAACTCCATAAATTCCAAAAAAGCGAAAACTTTTTGGAATCTCAACCCAAACGCCTGACGGAGAAAATGTACTACAATTCAAAGAAGACAAGATCAAATAAAAAATACCCACTAACCCTTTTCGCATAAACTTCATAAAAACATAAAATTGGGTTTCAAAGAAACAATGTAAAGATAATCTCCATCAAATGGAGCCAAAATACCAAGAAAAAAAATGGGATTTTGGAGCAAAAAAAAGAATGTTACCTGAAACTGTTTAGCTGAAAACTCATGGTTAATTTCAGATTGCAAAACTTTGAGCAAATCCAAATCTGCAATAGCTTTACGAGCTTGCCGTAACACTGCTGGAACTTTCCTCATCGCCCACAGGAATATTGAAGAAACAAAAAACTTCAGGGGATTTGAAGAAACTGAAAATTGCACAAATAACCAGTTTGAGGACTCTATTTAAGGTATAGGCACTTTTGCAAATTTAGCTAGTTTTAAAGTTTGACTTGTCTAAAAGTAAACGATTTAGAAATAAATAAAACCTGAACAAGAATATAGGTTGAGAATTGAGATCGATAATGTAGGCGAGCTTGCACATACAATATTGTATTCTAATTTGATTATATATGATTTCTTTTATTAGACCGAGAAAAATCTAATTATATGATATTAGTTAATACTTCCTCTGTCTCTAATTATTTGTCCACTTTTGAATTGATACACCTATTAAGAAAACAATTACTGTTATAGTGAGTTTACCATTTTACCCCTATTAATTATAAAGAGGATGAGTTAAAAATTTAATATTTTTAAAAAGTTCTACCTTTTTCAAAGTAATTAATTGAGGGTATAATAAGAAATTTTTCTTTTGTCTTTTCTTGATTTGTCAAAATTGACAAATAATTAGGGACAACTATAAAAGGAAAAGTGGACACGTAAATAGGGACAGAGGGAGTAAGTATTAATAACAACAACATAATTTCTAAGTGGACTTTAGGGGAAATCTTTATATAGTAGAGAGGTTTTTTCCAATTGAAGTTTCGACAATCCTGCTTCCTTATTTGGGTTGGAAAGAATAAGTTATATATATATTTTAAATATTTTTAAAGGTATAATCTAAAAATATATCATTTAACTTGACCTTAACATATATTCATGTTTTCGAACTTTGAGTGTACATAAGAAGACACTTAAATTTGTAAAGTTGAACAAGTATGCACATATGTCATACGTGGTAGTTCACATCCTCTATATTATGCCACATATGATGCGTATACGATACATCTACTTATTCAACTTTATACAAGTTTAGATGTCGATCTATGTACATTCAAAATTGTCGAGCTAAAGCTTAACTAAAAAAGGATAGTTTCAAATAGGGGGAATACATAAACAGACCCCTAAACTTGTTTGGTTTTTCCTCGCAGGCACCTCAACTATGTCACCTTCCTATTGAATCCCTGAACCACCTATAATTTGTACCTTTTAAACATTATTGGCTAACATGGCACAAAACTTCAACAAATATTTTTTGTAGATTGTGCGCGTGAAATCCACCTTTCCCACGTGAAAAGTGCAACCAATCAAAATACTCAAATCGTTGAAATAATTTACACATCAGTCAATCTTGCCAAAATAAAAATCCAAATAAAACCTAGAAAACCAAAATATTTCAATAGTTTCAATAGTTCAACCCAAATAACTCTAAGAATGAATGCTTCAATAGTTCCTTTGTTGTTGCTCTTCTGAATGGATCTTGATCAAGATATAATCCTACCATGTTCTTAAAACTCTCTGAGAATTTCTTGTAATACTTGTTGTTTTTTGTTTTCTCATTATCAAAATATCGAAATCGCTTTGTGATTTTCATAAACAAGGACTTTGAAGGAGAGAGATGAGACAGGAGAGGCCTTCCATGTGCTAATTCAAGAGCAGTAATACCGAAGGACCAACAACAATTTGAAATTGTACCCTATACATGAATGTATCATTTCAAGGGCCATTAATATGGTGTTTCAGTCACATCAATGAACATTAAACACGAAGATAAGGAAGAAAACGACGACTCATAACCCAAATTTGGCTCAAAAATTGATGCAGAAACTCCAAAACTAGCTAACTTTATAGTTCCATCAGAATCTATAAGAAAAATCGATGAAAAAGAGAGATCCTTTGAGCATCTCCAACTTGAATATGATGTGAAGAAAGAAGAGAAAGAAAAGAGAATTAAGAGAAAGAGGGAGAAAACTAGGGTTACATAGATAAAAGGGAAAAAAGACATGGTGGATCCACATCAGTTCTTTTAAATCATCTTCAATTGCTTAAGCGACATGAAAACACGTTTTGTGCCATGTCAGTCAGTAGTGTTTAAAAGGTACAAATTATGGATGGTTTAGGAATTCAATAGGGAGGTGACATAGTTGAGGTGCTTGAGAGGAAAAACTGAACAAGTTCAGGGGTTTGTTTATGTATTCCGCCTTTCAAATATATACAATAAAGTAGTTAATTTACAATAGATATACTCATGTTTTTATTTACATTAAAAAGTAGCCAATAAAAAGTATACACTTACCATACAATATAACATACATATACACGAGCTATGCACTGACTTTACATTATCATATACTCAAAAAGTTAGATATAACTTATCTATACATGAATGATACATTGACTATTCAATCTCAATCAATTCAAAATCATCTCTAAACAATCTTTTTACTCTATACAGGAGCGCTAATGGACACGAGAAGGGAGCATGCCCCAAAATTCTAGAGATGAAATACACTCAATATTTTGAATCATTTAATATATAATTAACTCAAAATAATTCACGTTTACGACACATCAAAATCTTAAGAAGGATAAGAAGAAGGACGATGACAACAAAGAATAACAAGGACAAAGTAGAAGACGCCACCATCGCCGCTGATCAAAGAAGAAAGTGATCATTTTTTTTAATTAAGTTGACCAAAGAGTCTTTTGATGTAATTTTCCCATTAAAAAAGATGTTTATATATTATACTATTTCGGTATTTTCTTTGTCCAATTTATGTGATATATGTCGTTTTTCGAAAGTCAAACTATTTAAATTTGACCGGAAATTTGCGCAGAAAATCTTCAATTTTTTTGAAATGAAATATATATATTTGTAAATTACGTAAAACGTACTATAAGTCAGAATAATTGACAATCCAAAATATTTAGAAGATATATAAAAATTTGGGTAATGCTAAATGACCAGAAAATTTGGCTAGAATTATAAAAGTCTATAATATCTTTTTTATTTTAAAATAAACTTATCTTTTTTTTTTCCATTTTTTAATTAAAAGGTATTTAAGTTAAAAAAGTAAAAATGTTCAAAAAAATAGAATATCATAGTGTGAAATATATTATTTTACCATTCTAACCAAATTTTCTGGCCAAAAGAACTTTTCCTAAAGAATTTACAATCAAATAGAAATGTATTTAAATCCCAAAATTTATAATGTTCATATAAATTAGGACGGAAGGATACTCAAGACCATCCCATATAATGGTCATTCTTGTAAATCATCCCCTATAGGACTTGCAGTGTACCCGCTTCTAGAGAATACAATGGGTTTGTTTGGAAAGTCATTTGGTAATTGGAATTGGTGTAATTATTAGGACAGTAATTACCAGCTTAGTAATTACATTGTCTAGTAATTACACTGACCTATTTGGTTGCCATAGTGTAATTACACTGTAATTACACATGTCATGTTTGAATGCCACAGTGTAATTACATATGTTCTGTTTGGATGCACAATTGCAATCATAAAATTATAATAAATTTTAAAAATAAAAATTAATTGTTTAAAATTTATACTAGACAAATAAGAAACTTTACAAATGACATTAAATTAAATATTTAAGATATATATTCTTTTTTGAAAATATATTAATTAATAAACATATTTTCTATAACTAATATTATGAAAAAATAATTGATTTATATTTTTTCAAATTAATATATTTCGATTGAATTGATCGTAAGAACTAAAAGTATGAAGTTTCTACAAACATCGTGAAATGCATGTTTGATAAAAAGAATAATATATAAATAAAATGTCATAAATTATTAAATGTTTGACAAAAATATAATCTATCAAGTCTAATTAAAAACTGACATGCAATGTAAATTGAATATTACTAAAACAAATGAAACTAAAAATATAACATAAGTTATAAATTCAAAACAAAAGATTTAACATAATACTCTTATAATAAATTTCAATATAGAAATAAATATGATTTATTTTTATTTTTCCTTAATAAAGAAAATGTAAGTCTATAACCTTACTTAACAATAAATTCTATTTTAATTTAAAAATTAGAATACTAATAAAATTATGCTAATGAGAAAATAAGCATGGCATAAAGAAATAAATAATACGAGAAAATTACATAGAATCACGTAAAATAAGGTTGAGAACAAGAAGAAAATGAAATATAATAATATAAAATAAAAAATAAACTTTTAAATTTTTTTAGAATAATAAAAATAAAAAAAGAACTTAAAATAATAGAAGTAAAAAAATTAAAATAGACATAAAAAAATAAATTTAAAAGTAATTAGGTGGTAATTACATCATGTAATTATTAACAATTCACAACCTCTGCATGTGAATTATAGAGTGTAATTACCCCGCCAATTACGACAATTACTTGTTGACCAAGTAATTACATGTCCTTTCAAAACATGACAAGACAATGTAATTACACCAATTACACCAAATCCAATTACCAGGGTGTCCTTCCAGTCAACAGGTAATTGGCGGGGTAATTACACTATACAATTCATAGGCAGAGATTGTGAATTGTTGGTAATTACATGGTAATTTCTTTTTTTATCTTTTATTTTTTTTTACTTCTATTATTTTAAGTTATTTTTTTATTTTTATTATTCTAAAATTTTGAAAAAGTTTATTTTATATTTTATATTATTATATTTCATTATCTTCTTGTTCTCAACCTTACTTTACGTGATTCTATGTAATTTTCTCGTATTATCTATTTCTTTATGCCCTGCTTATTTTCTCATTAGCATAATTTTATTAGTATTCTAATTTTTAAATTAAAATAGAATTTATTGTTGAATAAGGTTATAGACTTACGTTTTCTTTATTAAGAAAAAATAAAAATAAATCATATTTATTGCTATGTTGAAATTTGTTAAAAGAGTATTATGTTAAATTTTTTGTTTTGAATTTATAACTTATGTTATATTTTCAGTTTTATTTGTTTTAGTAATATTGAATTTACATTGCACGTCATTTTTTAATTAGACTTGATAGATTATATTTTTGTCAAACATTTAATAATTTATGACATTTTATTTATATATATATATATATATATATATTTTTATTT